TATGAGAAAATTTTTTCTCGTATAAATTTCCATTCAAAACATTGAACTAGATCGAAGTTCAAACTTATTCATAGCCAATTGATGAGTCCAAGGAGCATTTTTTTAAGTCGTATTATTATTAAAAAGCTATAGAACTTGGATTCGATCAGTAGTTTAGTAGACTTAAGAGTTACAATAAGTCTAGAAATGTTGATCACTACAACACTTCATCTTTCTTTTCTAAACATCTAAATCATACAAAAATTTAGTCTCAATTAGAGCTTGAAAACAAAACAAAACTGGTAAATAACTGTTGACATTGAAACCCAATGACAAAAAACATACAAATGACATACATATATAGTATACTTAATAACATAGCCTCTATTTCGTTCTGTGAGTACAGTTAACTCTCGGGTACATAATATAATTGCTATAAATAAACTTAAGGAAGACTAATGAACGATAAGCACAAAAACTTAAGTATGAAGAAGTTTCATTTCCTAAAATTTAGACATGCACCAAAAAAAATGAAGTTAAAAAGGCGTAGGTGTAAATAAGAATAAAGATAAAACTAGCACTCTCACACTCGCCTACATTCATTTGTCTGTTCGATAGGCGTCATATTTACTTTCATTATTTGGTGTACTAAATATTCGCGTACTCTTCTTTTCGGTGTCTATTTTAGTATAGTTTATCTACATTAAACTAATTGAATATTTCGCAAAAATGATTAAAATTTGATTCTCGAAACCAAAAAAAAAAAAAGCAAATGTTTTGTATATTCTGCTCAATATTAAATAAATAGTTTATAAAAATGCTTTATCCTATATGTGACATAAATCAACATTAAATAAGTTTTTCTAAAACTATTATTATCAATTAGTATTCATATGAGTGATAAATTTTTACCTATGAATAAGATTTGTTAATGTATGTTGTTGTCCGCCACCAGTTGTTCCACATACAGGTCCATCTTCTTTTGAAATAGCATCAAGTAATTGTCGTAATTGTTCGGTAAAATTATTATTAAAACTAATAACAACTGCACCAGGTAAACTATCATAATCATCATCATCATCAACATTATCCATTGCATTAGCAAACATAACACATGTTGCCATTATTTTATGAATATGTCGTAACAGATGTACACTTGTTAACATACAATCACGTAGACAATTGTCAAGAAATAAAATATGATATTGAAGTAATTCATCAATATTTGTTACCTTAATGAAAGAAAAGAAGAAAACAATATGAATTCAAAAGAACATTTTATAAATGTTTTTGTAAACGAAATGAAAATCAATTCTAGAAAATGTTGAACCATTTTAAATAATAATCTGTTATTTTTTCAAACTACAAGATTATTGTAATTCGATAGAGAAAAAAAACATTTGTTTTAAATCAATGAATCACTTCGATTATAAAAACAAAAACAAAAACAAAACATGTCTTAACTACAAACGCGAATTATTATATCGAATTTTTCTACAACTATAACCTTTTTTGTTTTTGCGTCAATATTTTTACAATAAATTTAGTTATCTTTTAATGATCTTGAAAATCGTCTTACTTTTGACAATATTTGTCTAGTGATTTAATTAGATTTTTTTTGTTTTTTGTTTTTTACAAATTCTTATGATAGAATTATTTCTTTTTTGAAAATCAATTCATCATAATATTAATAATATGATAATTAAGTAAATAAAGCAAAAAAATAATTAATTCAATTTGAAAATGAGAACGAAAAAAATACTTTAGAAATAGATAGAAAATCAACATTATTATTTTCCTTTAATGATATAACGTGTCACATTTCTTCTCTGTTGATCAATAGTAATTTTTCATACTACAAATTATATTCCACTAGATAAAAATAGTTTAGTATAGACAATTAATATAAAATAGATTAAATTTCAATTCAATATGTACAAACACTTCGCATCATGCATGAAAATAATCTGTAAATATTAATTTTCTAAAAATAAAAAAATCAACCCTTGATAAATTATTTTTAATACTGTTTGATATTATTTTTTCATTATTCAAAACAACTGTGTTTTTGACAATCTTTTTAATTTAATAGTTCAATCAGTTTAATTTCTATTCAACAGATTTGAAAATTTAATCTGCACTGATTCATAGAAAATATTTCAAAAGACATTCTATAAAAATAAAAATAAAAATAAACTAGTAAACTTAAGAATTGTATCAAGCAACATTTCCGTTACAATTTATTATTCTAACTCAATATGGCATCTATCTATTAAACTTAAATATAATTAAATTAATTCAAAACTTAAAAAAAAAAGAAATTCTTGAAATACAACTTTGGATAAAAGTAGTTGCACTCTCTATCATATACTATCATTTTTTGTGTACTCAAAAAGTGAGTACACTCTAGAATCGGTCAGTATGTCCGTCCGGCCGGCCGTTTACATGATAACTTTTGAAAAGAGAGTCCAATCGCAATGAAATTTTCCACACAGTTCAGTCTTAACAATGTCTCGGTCGAGTTCGAAGATGAGCAGGATCCGTCAAGAAATGGCTGAGTTATC